CCCGCAGGGGCAATACCTGCACCCTATGGTGGGTGCAGCAACCTTGGGTGCAGCTATTGCACCTGCAGTGGGTGCAGTTGTGGCAGGGAGGGCTCTGGCCCCTGCACCCTGGTTTGAGGGGAATTAGCCTCCAGCCTGGGCTCTCCCCAGCTCCAGGGAGTCCCGCAGAGCCCAGAAAAGCCACGTCAGGAGCGTTGGGAGCAGCGGGAGAGCCGGGCTGCCCCATGCACCAGCACCCAGCAATTTCCTCAGCTCTAGCGCTGCAATCTTGGGGCAGGAGGACAACATGACAGGGGGCTCAGGACAGACCCCCATGTCCCCAGCCCCATGCAGCCGTCAGGATGGTGCGGGGCCGGTGCTGGGGCTGAGCGCGGCCCCGCTGCGGGCTGCCCTGCAGACACAACAGTCTGCCCGGCGCGCGCTCCGCGTGCCAAGGCCTGATAAGGCCCCAGCAGGGCCGGGCACCTGTTTGGGTTTGGCCCCGGGCTTGGACACTGTGTCAAGGCTGGCGCCGGTGTCCCCAGTCAGGGCCACCGCACGCCCCAGCGGGACAGGGGCTCCGGGGCAGCCCCAGCACTGAGAAGGGGTGAGGGGGGGACTGGTGGGTGCGAAGGGACACGAGACCGCAGGGCTGTGACCCCCCCCTCAACATCCCCGCTGCTGTGATGCTCCCAGGAAGAAGAGGGTGGTCTGAGGGCTCCCAGCACCACAGCCAGTGGCAGTGCCACCCTGCAAGTGCCGTCACCCAAGCTGCGAAACGCAGGGACAGGGGCTGCATGTGGTCACGCGGGCGGCTGCCGTGCGCTGGCTGCGCGTGCGGATGACACCAAGTCCTGCATCCGCAGGGCCCAGGCCGAGCTCCCGGCACTGGGAACGATGCCCAGGCCATGCCACAGGTCTGTGCTGTCCCCAAGCACAGGAACAGGCTGCTCCTGGGGCCCACGGCGCCCCGTGGCCATCCCTCAACGGCCCGTGACATGAGTGCTGCAGGTCTCGGCCACACACCCAAACTCAGTTCATCCCTGCTGCCAGGGACCCCGTAGGAGAGGGGTCCCCTCCTTGCCGAGCAGGGACGTGTCCCTCTGTCCCCATGCGGGGACACACAGATGCCTGGGCCCTGCTCCCCCAGGACTGTTGCTGCGCTGGGCTGCGCTGAGCGGCTGCTGCTTCCCCGGGATGCTCCGGGCTCCTCTCCGCAGCTCCCAATGTTCCTGCATAGCCGCTAGGTGCCGGCAGCTGGCAACTTTTCGGGCCCGTGTGGTGCTGGGTCCGGCAGCAGTGGGGCCGGGAGGTCTTCAGCCACTGGGGCCTCGCGGGGTCATCCCTGGCACCCACAACGGCTGTCCAGAGGGGACACGGGACCTGGGGAGAGGCCACGACCACCTGGGTGACCAGAGCCCCAGGGCTGTGGGCACAGGAAGGAGACCAGCCCTCCCTGGGCAATGTTTTGGGGTGACCTAAGTCGAGTCTTGGGACATTTCACTGCTAACGCCTTTGCTCGCAGGCTGTCCTTGCTTCCCTGTCCACAGTCTGTCCCACGCTGAGGCTGCCCCACAGCCGGGCACCTCTGCAGCACCTTGCTCATCACCAGGGTCTGACCCTGGCCATCCCCCCAGGGTCCCCAGTTCATCCCAGTTGCTCTGGGGACAGGTCAGGCCGTGGTGGGCAGGGGGACGCTGGCAGCAGAGGGGCTGCACGGGGGCTGCAGGGGGGTG